CAATCCATAAAATGCAGCACTTGTCATTCTTTTATTTGAAAAAATTGTTATTTCTTAACCGAAAAGAGCATCTGTTCTGTGTATAAATAAAAGAGAACTCCGTACAATCCAGCTTATAAAGGTACTGATGCACGTCAAATCCATCAAATCGCATCGTGTCGAGTGAGTGAGTGAATTTTAACGTCGCACTATTCAGCTACACGAGGGCTTTTGACGACGGACCACGTAATTTTGAACCATGGTCAAGTGACGTGAATGACACCTGAGCTGGTATCCCCTCTCCTAACAACCACACCAACGGAAGGACGTTTCAGCTCTCGTCAAATTTAACGTGCATCGCTGCCCTACACGGCGGGTCTTTAGTGGTACTGGGCTCGAACTCATGACATGCCTGCCATGATCCGATACCTTGACCACTGGGCTACCGCAGCCCTCACATTGAGTCAAAGTCCTTATGTTTGTATAGCATGGAAGTTTGAAAAGTGGGGTACCAGCTCAGGTGTCGTCATCCTCACTTGATCGCTGTTCAAAATTACGAGGTCCGCCATTGATAACTTTCAAGTTGCTTCCTAGTGAAACGTTATTAAACAATCATTTAATCCATCAAGTGGCAGAATTTGGAATCAATCACACAAAAATCTGACCAAATCGCCTTTAGGTTAAGCCTCACTAAAGAAAATGTGGGGAATTATTTAGGAACTTTTGACTCATTCATGCAACCTTGATGAACCGATGCGCCGGTTTTGCCCTTAACTCGAGATACATCGTATAGCTCTAATGTTGCAATCAACAACATTATTTCATATAATATTAAGTACAAGATTCATTGCTAAAGTAGTTCAAGACATTATAAAACCAAAATTTGCCGATTTATCTCAACCAACACTCAAACATTCCAAAGGGAATTGTTTCTGTTTTTTTTGTGTGTGTTGCAGAAGGTACTTCTAATCTTGACATCAGCAATTTTAATCACAAAAATCAACTATGTACAACTATTTTAGATAAATTTGGCTTAAAACTGTTTACGAATGAATACTTTCTATAGCAGGAGCTACAAATTTCGAATGTTAACTTTAAAGAGAATAACATCATTTTTTAGGCTCTCTTTGCGAAATAAATTTCTTCAACCTAAGGAAAATAAATTATTAAGCAATAGTAAATGGAACAGTATGATCATTGAGCTTTTTAACTCATAAATTTCTGAATTTAACTCTATAAATGAATGTTAAAACTGTAAATGCATTTTTTTTTTCAGATTTTGCTTTTTTCACTTACTTGCATTATACTTCAATATTTTTAAAGAGAGAGGAAGTAAATATTTATTAGGATTGTGTGTGATTTAAAATAAATCTATATGTTTTTGTAAGGTTGAAAAAAACGGTATCTCATTCAGATTTCTAAAATGTTTTTCTTTCATAGACCTCTTTTTATGCCTAGAAATTCAACACAAAGATTAGGAACTATACAAGCATACCCCACCATGCTTCATCAATTAGGTCATTTACAATAATTAATTACTTTTCGTTGAAAAGAGATTATTTACCCAAGTTTCATATACATCTCTGGTCAATTTTCAAAATCTTATTACTGATTTTTTTTTTTTTTTGCTCATTATAATTTTCCTTTTAGCTGATAAAAGATATCATGCATAAAAAAAATTCTAAAAATCAGAAAAAATTGAACATAGAGGTGGTACATATTTAGTCATTGCAATCGATGTAAATAATTCATAAGAATCCGTATAATTACATGTTTAATTTTTTAGATACTTACTTTTTTGAAAATGGCATTTCTTAATAGCTATATTTAATCTTATTTTTTTATTTTTTGAAAATGAGATTGTCAATAAGGTTTTACTATCAAATAAACTCTTATTTCAAATATGTTTGAAATGGTTGCAAAGTACGCTTTGTTGCATTGTAAATACGAATATGAACTAACTGAACGAAAAAGCAATAACCAATTAATAGAATGAAAATGAATTTTTTTCTTTACCATAGATGAGGAGCACTTAGATTTTGTCTTGAAAATTAATGGTTCAGAAACAGACAATGAAGAATTTGTTGGCGTTTTCTGGAACTGGAATGATGAAGGTGACGTTGATATGGAAGCCTTCCTGTATTACCGTTACCTGAAAAAAGAACGGAAGTTTTATTTTGAGGTATCATTTTTCCCCCTCTTGTTTACTGTTCACCTTCTTTACATGCTGGTAAAGTTTAGAGAATCTTAAATTCTGTTAATTATTTTAGTATACTAAATATAATGCATTTGTTATGGCTTCATCGTATTTTTCTTTCTTTTAATATCATTTTTTCCGTCTATTTTTAACTTAAATGTTAAAAGCAGATTCACTATATCTAACTTCTTTTTATCACAATAGCTGTGTTCCTTGAAATACCGTGCATAAAATGTACGATTTGTATAGTAAAAAGGAAGAGATATGTTCGCGTTTAATATTATTCCTAAGCCAAGCAAAATAAAATTAAAAAAACTTTCTTTTATTCAAAAGAACCATGTAAAGAATTAACCATTTTTAGATATACCGGTTGATTCATAAATAGTGTGGCCAATTTCAAAGAATCATACATTTTTATTGAATAAAGTTATTTACATGGAATTTTCAATGTGGTTTCCTCTAGCACAGTACACTTTTCTCGTGCGTTTTGGCTAAGCTAAAAGAGGTTTTTTGATCATTTTGAGGATATTTTTCCAACACTTTCTTAAATTGCTTTTTGAAGCCCTTGAAATGCTCTTACTTTACGTCTATTTAATTGTTCTTTTTTAAGTATCCCCATAAAACATAATCACAAGGAACTCAGACAGGGGATAGTGATAGTCATTTATCAGGAGGCAGAAAATTTATTTTTTAATCGTTCAGCCATTTTATAGTGGATTTTACAGTATGACTTAGTGCAGAATCTTGGAGAAAAACAGTTTCCTTGAGGGTAAAGACGTTTACTTTTTTTTTGAGCAAGTGTTTAAAAACTTTATTCTGATAGTATTTAGCATAAATTTTAAAGTTTGGTTCTACAAAAAAATGGTTTTGTTAAGCCTTGATGAAACATTTCCGTCCATAACATAACACCTGATGGCCAACTTGCATTTTTCAAAACTGCTGCGTCTTTGCAACGTTTTTTGCTTGAAATATATTGAATCTTCATTTTGCCAGTTGTGAATGACAGATGAAACTGTGCTTCATCAGAAGTTATCCATGCTTTGTATCTACCTTTGCGTAATATTAAAAAAGAGGCCAAGAACGTTTTCTTTTTTCTATGGTCTTAACAGACATTTGATGACAGACTATATATATATATATATAGAAAATTTACTTTATTATAGCCAGTTTTCTTTATCTGACGATAAATTGTCGATTACTATATCTATAGCTTGTTGCCATAGGATTTGAGGCAAATAATTTTCTACAGCGATAACTATTTTCAACTTCTTTTTTCTCTTTCATTACGAACTTCCTTTTGTTCACATTTTTTCCATGGAGCTTTCGATTGCGAGCCAAATATTATCTTTTTCTGAAGTTTAGATAGGAATACATTGGAAAAATGTCTTTTTGATTTTTAAATGCTTTATTATTTACAGAATTTGAACAACCATCCTTCAAAAGCTGTAAGATTTCATTCCGGGTTTGAGGATCCAATTCCAGTACTGTAATTTACTCCCACTAATTAAAAGGGTTAGATTGGTAATTTAAATGTTTCATTTTTCAAATAGAACCAGTAGTAAAATGTTAGAAATTCATCATAAATAGTTATATGCTTTTAAAATTGATCACTTATTTTGAATCAACTGGTATATGTCTATACATTTTACACAATATATTTATATATTTAGCAGTAATATTAAATTTATAAGGCCCTGTGGCTGAGTGGTAGCGTATCACGTTTCCACATCACAGGTCCGCAGCTCACATCGCAGGCTAGGCAAGGTCAACTCAGCCTTTCATCCCTTCAGTTGGTCAATAAATGAGTACCAAAATTTCTTGGGAACGAAACACTGGGGGCTTCACGTCAAACTGACCACTTGACTGGAACATCTGCTCTTACACCTCAGCGCCCAAGATCTCGTGAACTGAAATGGGCACAGAAAACCTTGGTCCTCATGAGCTGTTGCGCCACTGAGTTTACATTATTAAACTTATATATTTCATTTTCTAAAAAAAAATAAACTTAGGAATACATTCTTATTGCCACAAGGCAGAGTGAAAACTTTAAAATTAAAAATACTAGAAATAAAATTATTTATTTATCGCTGCTTGTTGATAATAAACGCATTTGCTTACATAAGCAATGAATTAAAATTATATTGCATCCACTATATGCTTGAATCTAATTAAGTTCTTGGCTTTTAAGCACATTTTGAGAGGAATTATCTTCCAAAATATTTTATTTAATTTTTTTAAGAAAATCTATAATTTATGTTTTGTTGCATTAGTTCTCTATATAATTTTTAGTATCCATTTAACTAAGCTTCAGATCTCTCATTGAAATTGTAGGGGACATTCTTTGTTAGGATCAATGCTTAGAAATAGTTTTTTGAATAAGCTTAAGACATTCGGAAATTAAAAAAAGCAATTAATTGATTAATCTTTATTTCATTTCTTAGTGTTGCACTAGCAATCCTAAATGGTATTAAGAGTAAATCAGCTGTTTAAAAAAGAAAATGGCTTTTTCTTGGACCATGTTATTTCAAAACAGTGTAAAAAAGTTAGGAGTGCTTTACTCTTTTTCAATTCCTACTTTTAGTTCATTCTCACCCTTTATTTATATATATATATCTTTTTCTCAAATTTCCAATAGTTAATAAAATACTTTTTATTCTTTCATTCAAGTTCAAATACATCTTTTTAAACTTGTAGTGAATGACACTTGTGATGTTAATATAGTTTCTTCAAATATTAATTCATTAATTAAATTAAAAAATGAATAAATAGCTACAAACAAAATAATAATCCAACAGCAAATATAGAAAGGAAAATTGTTCGTTTTGTGCCTGTAGCGCAATGGATAGCGCACGCGTTGTACATCTAATCCAAAGGTTGTGGGTTCGAATCCCATCTGGAATGTCCTAACTTCTGATAATGTGTGTGTGTGTGATTTCTTTTTTACTATTCTATTGTAATAGAATGATTAAATTTAATTAATGAATAAACAGTAACAAACAAACAAAATAGTCCAACACCATATATAGAAAGGAAAATTACAAGGAAAATCGCTTTCTATTTTGTTACTTAATATTGTGATTTTGTCATATGCATATTTATATTAATTGTAACTATTTAATAAAAAGTAACTAAAATAAGAAATTTTCTTTGTTGACCTAAGCAAGAATTGACAATTTTTTATATTACTTGTTATTAATAAAAGAATAGTAATATTTCATCCTCAGGAATATTAACATTATTGCTTAGGCTAGTTGTAATTAATAAATAAATTTGTTTTAATTTTCTCCTTTCCTAATTTTACTATCAAATCGAAATTATTTTGACTTAATCATCAAAGTTTTAGTTTTCTTTCTAAATTTCATAAATTGCTTTATATTTTTGTCTCTAATGTTATGGAGTAATTAAATTCTATGTAGTAAGCAAATTGAATGACTCCTTATTGGACAGGACTCTGCTGTTTGACATGTTGTTTATGTAAATATCGATGATTATTTTTTACCTTTATTAAGAAAGTCTTAATTTGTGAACAGCAAATTACAAGAAAAATTGAACAAGGTAAAAAAACATTGAGATATATTTTCTATTTATAAAAACAGAAGATAAAAATTTACATCAACATTATAACTGCTTCAAAAACTTTTTTGTACATATTGCCTGTAAATAAACTATTAAAATAATCTGAAGCTTTACAGTTTATTTATTCCAGTGAAATGAAAAAAGTGTCAGTTTTTAGTATCCATTTCTTAATAATTAATTATTCAGAATAACATTCATATTTTTCATACAGTTCTCATTCATACTTTCCTACTCATTGAAATAATATTCATGCTTTTATTTCAGTACAATAGACCCAAACTGGTGTATCAGCTGGATGGATCAGTTGTAACTCCGCAAACATTGTTAGGTGATACTTGTGAACTAGATTTGAAATCTGTGTATAATGGCGAAATCACAAAGGCTAAGCTCATTGCAGATTATGCTAGTAATTGTTACAGACTACTTGTCTTCAATGTTGAAGGTAATACTACAATGTTAAATGCACATTTCTAATCTTTTAAAATTGTTATGTCTTTCAAAAATATGAAAATTAGCATTTTACAGCGCGCAGAAATCTGAAGAGCAGAATTGATCAAAATTCACAAAATTAATTTTATTTGATATAAAAATGTTCCTTTTTGAACTTATACACACTTTTAAAGCATTTACAGAACAAAATATTTTTAAAATACAATTATGAAGAAAATTTTAAAATTTTATGAAAAAATTCAATTAAAACACAAATAAAAAAAATTATACAAAAATTTGTTTAAAATTTTTGTATAAGTTATAAAAAACCTTATTTTGAACATGTGTATGAAATTTCATATTGATATGATAAATAGTTTTTGAAAAATTCTGCGCGCAAGGCAAAATTTTTCATTTTGAGAAAAATGAAGTTAACGATAAAAAAATAACAAAAAGAAAAATTAAACATACCAGCATGCTTTAAAAAGTCCCAGCAGCATAAATATTGCCCTCTGCAAGCTTGCATTGCTCAATTTGCTTCAGTATTTTAAGTTTTTTAGCTTTACGAGCTTAAAAGGAGGTTTTAGAAGCTTGTCTCTTAGCCGTTGACTTGCGCACTTTGTCAATATTTACACAATTCAAAACATTTGTTTTATTTATTTTTAAATTCAAAGCACGCATCAGATCAATTCTGTTCTTACTTCCATCATTGTATTCACATGCAGCTATTTTTGTGACATTAATTCCTGATAAAATCAATTTCGGCTATACTTCCAAATCAGTAAATTCAATGACTCATTAGCATTTTGAGTTTTCCCCTAAACACCTTCTTAACAATTTCAAGTGTGATTAATCTTTAAAAACAGGTTTAATCACTTCAGAAACTGCTTTTGGTAAGGTTTTCTTGTGAGAAAATTCATTCACTGTATTGTTGTGAACCTAAACATTGTACTTACACCAGCTATTTTTTGCCTTTTGGGTAAAACCAATGTTTCGGCTCATCATCTGTGCTGGATGTATGAGCCCACACAGCTAGACAGCTTGCCTCATCTCATTCACATTATGGGAGTTGGCACGAATAGCATTGCCATAAAAAGTCGTCAATTTGTTATAATAGCATCGTTAGGCGACCTTTCCCACCAATTGTTTTCCCATCAGAAACCTTCTTTTCCCCCGTAAACTTTCAACTTCCGCAAGCGGTTACCCATTTGCTTTTAGACATGGCCACCACACTCTATTTTTACAATGGGAACACTATCCCCATATGGTTCTTTTTTTCAGCAATAGACAAAAAATGTCTTTGAGTCACCATCACCTATGTATCGCTGATACTTTAATCCATGTTTTTGTTCTGATCGAGAAAAGTTTTCTGCATTCCGCAAACTTCCATTTTTCCAGCAGATCTGCTATGGTTTTTTCTGCAGAAAATGTGATGTTTAGCCAAAAGCACTATATTTTGATCCAAGCTTTGGCCCTTTATCGGAGTCACATCCTTTGCAATAAGAGGACATGACTTCCATGTCGAGAACTTTCCCGCAGTCAGCTCCAATCAATGCACAGACTCCAATAAGTGAAGTATGCCCACGGGTTACTTCCAGGTCCCATCACCGTTAACTACAACAGAATTTACGGTGCGATCAATAATTTTTTCCTCAGCAGCAGCTTTCTTCATCGATGCATTTGCAAGCGCTTCACTTATATCAGCTATCTTTTGCATTTATTCTGTCGTAAGCTTTCTGAGACACTGGATTTGGCAAACACATAAGAGAACAAAACGTCTCGAGCGAAGACAATCCTTGGCCTATATAGCATGGCCAAAACAACCCTCGCCTGTTGATTTCAGGTATATTTTTTTATACCAATCAATTCACAGGAATTAAGTTTTTTCAATGCTACATTTTCTGCATGTGAACTGAAATATGGAAAATAATCCTACAGTGGATTTTTTTCACTCATTTTTATTTTGCCATAACACACAGAGCAACAAAGTAACTTTTCAGTTTTTGAAAATAATAAACTAATGTCGATTAGTTTATAACCTTGAAACTCAACTGAAACATCATTTTCGTAAGCTTCTGAAATCTTGTGTGCACTTGGCAATTTTTTCGCCGATGAACTTTTTGTTTGGCGAAACATTTTTTCAAAAGAAATAATACTTTTTTAGACAGATTTTTCTTCCGATACATGTTTCCTGAAATCTTTTTCTTCTTTGGTCTCTTTCCGGATGAAGTTTTTTTTCAATGGAACATCCATGTTTAAAAAAGCTTTCAATAACAAACGAAAAATAATGCTAATCCAAAATCGAAATGTAAATAAACAATCCCGCTTGGATTAAACGAAGTTAAAAGTTGAGTTGTAGTTATGCTACTCCCGGGAAATCAATTTGATATTAGGTGTGGCTCTTTTAATAAAACTAATCGGCGAAATATTAAAATGTTTGGAATGTGTTCTGACAGATGTCAAAAGTGAGCGTGGCAGATGCAAGTTTTTGTTTACGTGTTACTAGTTATTTCTCAATAACTTTGGAAGTTTTCACAGTATCAACAAAATTTTGGTTGCAAACTGCTCAGCAACGTTGAGGCTTTAACATATATTTTTTTCAAAAAATCGAAAAAAATGAAATTTAAGAGTCCTATGAGGCCTTAAAAGTAAAAATGAAAAATTATTATTCTTTTCCTCACTTAAACATAAACAGTTCTCGAAACTTTGTATAAAGTAAGCCATCATCATAAAATAATTCATAGCATGATTTCGCTGAAAATAAGATTTACATAAAAGATAAGCCTTAACTAAGATCACCTTCTAGGCGAATTCACTTAGTACATCTACTTACGAGGAATATAATGAATTATAAGGCAATATATAAAACAAAAATAAAACTACATATAAATAAATACAAGAGTCGATATATGAAGTGAACACAATAGTTGAATAATATATGAATAATTAATTTCTTTATAGATTGCATCTAACCTTTATTGGGTGTTATTGATTTGAAATAACATCTGGATTCACATAGATTATCAAAAATTTTATTATCAACTCGTAGGGAATTGCAAAAATCACCAAAGCACTCAAAGCCATTACATGTTTAAAGTAGCAAAAAAAAAAAAAAAAAATCAAAAATATGTCACAGAAATCACCAAACACCAGCGTTGCACGAAAAACTGTTTCTCTGATTGCAGTTCAAAACAAAATTAAATGTATGCATTCCCACTCAAGTGCAGAAATCAGTTATTCTGCAGATTAGCTAGGTAATCTGCTCATTCCCTATAGTGCAATGTTTCTCAAACTGTGGGGTGCGCTAACTGTAGGAGGGGGGGGGCGTGAGCATATTGAAAAGTTTAAAACAAAAGATTATTTTTAAAATTTATTAATTTTCTGAAAGTAAACAAACGAAATGCATTCTGACATAATAAAAAATAAAATATACATTTACACTGATATCATACACTTATGAATGTATCTGTACTGTGTGTGCGCAACGTATTTTATAATTAATTTAACAATACATGTTGTGAAAATAGCCCTGCTTTGAATGGCTCTGGAATGGAATGATGTTACGCCCCCACCCCTATGATGCAATGCCCTTTTTCGGACACTCCGAACTTAGCAGGCAGAGAGTGAGGTCATTGCTCTACTGCCTTGCAGTGTAAATAAAGCATTTTTAACGGACCTCTCTGGAACTCTTTTAAGAAACCAACAGCAACCAGCATCGGGTAGATGCAGTTCACAAATACTAAGTTAAAAACAAGTTTAATAACCACAAGTAACCCCCCCCACACACATGAAGATTATATACAAAAATTAATACTTATCTTGATAATTTGTGCAGTTTGTAATTATTCCCTTAACTGCGGATTAAAAATTACGCGATTCGCTCAACAATTCCGCCG